GAGGGGTTGTACCCATCGTTCGAGCCATTACCCCCAGTATTTTTATTAAAAATCTGCACAGCCTTCTTCAAAAACCTCTGATAAACTCTCCTGAACTCTGGACTAGTAGCCGACGAGGCAACAACCGCACGTGATGGAACATTTCCCCAATTGCAGTCTCTGTAATCATCAACGGACTTTCTGGATCCATCCCTGCAGAGTAATTGAAACTGATCCTTGCTGACAGATGTAAAATCAAAATTGGTGGAGGTCATCTCGTGAACAGTTGTGTGAAGGAGAAAGGCGATTTCTCCAGCCTCAACGAGACACCTGAAAGCACCTTCATACCCAGCGTATGGATCAGAGTTGGTGCATCTGCCTCCAGGGATTTCTCCGATGCAGAGTCTGCAGAGTTGATCAGAGTTGTCACCTAGGGGATTGTACCGATCAACCAAAGAGTTGACGGCACAACTGGGACCGAAGAATTTGATGGTTGATTTCACGTGATTGTTGCAGTCAACGATCTCTAGGCCACCCTCTCTCATCAGAGTGTAGATGGGTGTCACCCAACCTGCGAGGGTGCCAACACCTGCGAAACACGCCTTTTTACCCCGTAGATCACGCAGACTGTTGACATCCGGGAGGGAGTCCTTCTTGATAACTGCCACTGCGTATTGATGTTTTAACCGATCTTGATGGATCTCCTGGGCTATTGGCAGAAGACTGTGGTATCTACCACCCACGAACACCTCTCCAGCATCCAATGTCGTCAGTTGCGCCTTCTCCTCGTCCAGAAGATTCATGCATTCCTCTTTGCTGAAGGCGTGCTGGCACGACAGTGAGACGTACTCATCTTCGAAAAATTGCTTTTCCCTCTCGATTGCGTGGGAAAATGCTGTGCACTTGTTCTGCTCTGATTTAGAAACTGTGCACCACGTCGCCGTGTAGTTCTGACGAAGTGTTCGACCTGGGATGTTGTACGGATTGAAGTTGTACGGGTTGTAGCTGTTCTGACCTGTCGGCATTTCAGAGATTTCAAGGACCATTCGTTTTTCATGATAATAATCACTCGAAACATTCGCGAGGACATTGGATTACACGAAAATAAATATTTCTAAAAATTTTCTAAAAATTGCCGAACTTTTAGTTCGCTTATCGATCACGGAATCGACTAGAAAAATCGAAGTGACGGTACCGTAATTTTTCACAGATTATTTTTTCAACCCAAATTTCCGTTAACAGGATTGGCCCATTCGACGTCACGTGGTACCAAGGACCATGGTATTATACTGATAATTTTTTGATAATTTTGTCTGGTAGTTCCTATATATAAGAAGCAAAATAATATCCAGTCGAATTAACCCCAGATGTCAATGACAGATTTAATTCGATCCCTTAATTTGAATTAAAATATATTTGTTTTGAAAATAAAATTTGTATTTGACAACTGTGAGGTTCGTCTCATGGGCCAATTCTGTTAACCGAAATTTGGATTGAAAAAATAATTCGACGAATACCGCGCGAGCATCAAAATTGATCGAGTATTTCCCTCAAGGTTCCCTGCAAACAAACGAAATCGTCAAGTTTTTCAGGAAAAATCATTTTTATACCTGAAAAATTTGACTCCTTCATTTGTTTGCAACGAATCTATCGGGAAATACTCGATAATTTTGAAGCTCTCGTGGTATTACAACTGACAAATATTTGAGTAATTATTTGTTTTCGGGAGGAATTCGTGTAATGATAGAATAATTTAACATAAAACAAATATCTTGTTCTTTATAGATGATTCTATTATTTTTAGAATTGATTTATATTGAGGAATTTTGAGGTTTGGGAAAATGGTCGATAGAAAATCGATGGAAAATTGAATTTTAATGAGAATTTTCTAGAATTTTAGGAGTCTCTGTAGAATTTTTAGTGAT